GTTGGGCGGAGCATACAAGGGAGTGGAATGAGTTCAAGAGGACCAACGAGGCGCATTGGACTGCCCACGACGCCCGATGGGACACTTGGGAGGCCCAGCGATACCAGCATCCGCCACAGCCACCACCGAACGCACAGTGACTTGTCACTGTGCTTTGTACGTTTTTCTTTCTTTTTCTCTTTTATTTTTGTATAGCTTCTTTGTTTTCGAGTCGGTTTATTATATGGTCAAACTTTCCTTCATTGCGAATCGACAATGGGGACATTGTCTGATTTTAAGTGTGGGGGAGTTTTACGTGCTTACGTGACTATGTGGCGGACCATGTCTAGTTTTCTTTTTAGGTTTGTTTTTATTTCTTTTCTCTTGCTTGGTGGACCGGTCTAGTTTTTAGGATTTTATTTGTTTTGTTTTTCTGAGCGTGGACTTGGTGAATTGTAAGATTGATTAATTACTGTCAGTTGAATGGAGTGGCTGTGATGATGAGAATTGGTGGCACATCTTGATGAATGACTTGGTTATTTTGATTGACTTTATATACATTGTGAGGTTTGAGCCATACTTGTTCTTGTGAGATGTTGGTTTGAAATTTATTCAGTCCGAGTTTGCCTTGAGTCTACTTTGAAATGAAGTGATTAGATTTGTGAAACGTGAAAATGATTGAGGCATTCCTTGTATTTTCTTCTCCTTCTCTTTTCTATGAATAACAGTCACTAGTCATCCCCTTTGAGCCTTATATGATTTTATTGTTAACCTCATGATGATGATATTGAGTTGTGGGTTGAGAATTGGAGGTGTTGGTTGATTGAACTGTGAATACGTTCATTTGACTTGATATATATAAAAAAAAGGGGAGCCAAATGGATTATACTCCTAGCGCTCGGTCCCCTAATTTAGCAGATTCGAGCCACGAGTACGGGAAACCGGTCTAGGAGACTCGAGCAGAAAACTCGAAGGTTAAACCTAGATAAGATGTCCAAATGGTTCTCGCAAAAAAAAAATAATAAAATAAATTGGGAAGTGTGTTGGTTTTGGAGTAGTAGGGAGGAACCGGTTGGTATTCGACAACCGGAAGAGTTCATGACTACGGTTTGGTGATGGAATTGAGATTGAATGTATTTTTTATCTGAGCCACTTAATCTATATGTATACTACCCGATCCAAAAAGCCTACATTACATCCCTAAAAGTCCTCTTGATTCATTGTTTCACGAACTTGATTGTTTTAGAGTAAATGTTAGACAATGGGCAAACTTATGATTGATTTGATTGACGACCAACTTGAGCGTACCTATCTTATATTTTCAAAAGAACCGAGTGAGGCATATGATATATTTTCGTCTTGAGAGTCTTTGTCTTTCGAAATAACCGAGTTACTAGTTGAGGTATGCGCTGGTGATCATTGGAATTCTTCTCATTTGATTGATTGGTTTGAGATTCTTCTTGCTTGAACTGTTGTCTTTGCTCATTTATTTGTTTTTCTTTTCTTTTCTTTGTTCGGGACGAACAAAGGTCTTAGTGTGGGGGAGTTGTTTGTCCCATTTTTGTTGCTATTTTCGTTGCTATTTTGTGTGTTGTTTTCCCCTGTTTTAGGTCTTTTGTTAGGATTTTCCGGTCCTTTTTAGTCATTCTCGAGTCTTTAGTATTTTTCGTTGTGTTTAGCATTATCGTTGTTATTTCTTCTATTTTCTCTTGCTTTTTTGTGTGTTCGATGGTGGTGTTTTCAGGTTCCCAGGAGTTCTGCGTCGGTTTGTGAGATTGGAGCATTTGAGGATTGAGTTTTAGCTCGAGGAGGGCCCGAGGGACGCTAGCCGAGAACACTCGAGTCCAAGTCGACAAATTTTTGGAGCAGTCCAGGCCATAGCGCCGCTATGCCCATAGCGCCGCTATGGCCTGTTGAGAAAGCAGCGGTTTGCGGTAAAGCGATGTGCTGCAGCTCGGGGTATTCCAGCCATAGCGGCGCTATGACCATAGCGCCGCTATCCCCTGCTCGTAACCGATAGCGTTTTTCGCGGATTTTGAATTTGGAAAGCATAAGGGTCGAGCCTAGGGCATATGGACAGACATTCAGACTCGTTTTTACCATTTTTTACACCTTAGAACAATACTTTTTCTTAATCTTTCATCTTGAATTAGTTTTTGAGATTGGAGAACTCGTATTCTAGCTTTTGGATTCGGTTTGTTCGTTGTTTCATCGACATTGGATTTAGTATTAATCGTAAGCTTTTCTTTTCATCTTATACATGAATGTGATGGCTTTTTTATGGTGAATGCTTGTGTTGATATTGTGATGAGTGGCTAATTCCATAAGTTAGGGATAGGGGACGATTGTTTCGGTTCGTTTTCAATTACGTGTTTGATAATTGTTCGATCTTTGCGAGTTGTGCGTATTCTAGGGTTAGTTGATTGATCATCAATCTAACCTAATCAATCGACGTTTAGAACCGAAAGGGGAGGCGTCGGTCAATCTAGGCTCGTTTGGAATAGACTTGTTCGTTACTGTATTGTCTATGTGTTGTAGGGTTTGATGAGTTGCTCGTGTATGTTCACCTTCTTGTTACGAAGAGTTATTGAAAGTGAAACTCCATACGAATAGGCGATTCAAACCCCTTAACCGAGCAATTGATTGCCCGGTAATTGAGTCAAGAACTGAAAACGATTGTCCCCGACTCCCTAACTCCTTTATAATCAAGTTAATCGTTTGCTTTGAATTTTCGTGTCTTTTGCTTTATTACTCTAGTTGATAATCAAACCCCCAATTTGAATTACAGTGTTTAGGAAATTCTTTTTTTTTTTACTGAATATTCGTACAAATAATCCGGCTAACCTTCCTTGTGATATGACCCGGTGTCGAATCTTTCGATTCTACTCCGGTAAAAATATTTACAACAACACACTGGCTTGGGATATGCCCCAGCCTCCATGGAGTACAAAGTGGTCCACACGTTCGACTCGGATTTTTACGTGCTGACTTTGGGAGTGGACGATGTGTGGAGGCGGGTCGAGTGTGGGCACCTGACCCGACCTGCCCAGAAGCTTCTCAGTCGTTCAACTCCGCTGGTGACGGAGGGCTATATGCATTTGGTCCACCCAGAGAAGAATCTTGTGGTGATGCTCGATTTGGAGACAGAGGCCTTCAGGCAGTTGCGGTGTCCACCTGGTAAGAAGAGGGCAAACTGTGGTTTTCTGGTGGGTGACTCACTTTCTTGTTCTGCTATGCACGGGAGGTTGTCTTGGGGGGTCTGGGAGCTGAGGCCGGGCACAGGGGAGTGGAAGAAGCTTCCTGGGATTGAGTTGGGAGGTCGAGCTCAGGAGCTCGAGAATTTGTGTGGAAAAAGATGGTGTGATTGTGAGTGGGGTCTTAGTGTGGTTGGGTGGATAAAGTACAAGGAGGTGTTGGTTTTTTCGTGTCTCATGTCCGTCTTGGGTTTGCATTGCGTATAGCATCCGTACGGGAGAGCTACGGGCTTTCGAGTTGGATTGTGAGGGAAACAAGCACAACTATTTGCCTCATAGGAGCAGTCTGGTCTGGTTGGGTGGGACCTAACACTTTATCTTCAGTGTTGTTCCATTTGCATGGGATTTGTTGTTGTAACTTGCACCTTGTAGTATGTGTGTTGTGAACTCGATGTTTGTAAACGGCCAAAGTATGTTTGGCTACAGAACTTGTCTTCTAGTTTATTTTTGTTTGCAAACCACAAGACGCAAAAATGCCAACAGACACTATTAGAAATATTAACATGAAATACGCACACAATAGTATCAGTAAAACACGACATGACAACACAATTAATTTAGTCATTTATGTAGATATTTGATAGTTAACAAGTGTAATATATATTTCTCATATTTTTCTTATGTCTACTACAAAAACTAATAAGGGATGCTTGATATAATTTTTTCTAAAAAAATCAATAATTTTTAACCAGTCATTTTTTTTTTTAACTTCAATCTAACTCAACTTTAATTCAATCCCACTATCCTTAATATTAATAATATAATTAAATAATATCACTCAATTGTTTTTACAATTACATCAATTTAATTCACTGTTCATCCACTCATATAATTTTAACTAACTATCACTTCACATAATCTATATCAAAACAACTTTAATTATTTTATTTTAAATATTATTTTAATATATACTCAAAATCCCACTAACAACTAACCATACAACTTTTTTCAAAAAATTAATCTTACCAAACCAAAAAAATCCAAAAAAAAAAAAAAAAAACCTTATATCTAATATGTCTTTCAAGAATTTATACAAGATACTTGGAAATTACCCACCCAATAGTTTTGGTCAATCTTAAACATATATTTATTTTATTTTTCATTCTAAACCAATTTTTCCTTCATTATGGGCCTGGCACCAAAGATTTCGTTTTGAGCATTGGGCTGGTGAACATTCCTAGCAGGCCTGCATATATCAGGACAATTCGAGGCCAGGCCAGTAATCACAATTCTTCCCGCCAAAGTCATTGACGCTCCTCAATTCCCGCCACTCCTCATCCCTTCTCCCGTCCTCGCCGTCCGCCGCCGCCCTCAAAATTTCCAGTCAGTACTCGTCACTTGTTCTACTCGAGCAGAGCTAGTCGTGACATGATAATTTTCTTCATTTTTTGTTAGGAAAAGTTGAATTGCTCGAAAATGGTGAGAGAACTTGATAACACAGGCGAAGACATGGTCATAGACGGAGTAGAAGCAGGTCAAAAGCAAAACAATGAGATACCTGATGGGTTTAACTCTAATTACCTGAAGATCTACTATGGTAATATTTTAGTTTTCTTGGTTTTAATTCCTGTTCAAGTTTAGGGTCTCCTGCAATAATCTTTTTTTTTTTTTTTTCCCCTAAGGAAGATGCAATTTGATTTTTATTTCGATGATCTACTGTTCATATGGGATGAAATTGGTTAGTTTCGAGCTGTAGATATGCCGTCAGGAACTTTGATGTTGTACAAACCTGTGATTTTGCTGTCACCAAGAATTTTGTTCTGCCTGTGATTGTTCTTACAAATTTGAAAGGATTGATTTTGACATCAACTTTCAGTATTGAGACGAAAATGAAACAAAAAATTAAACTGCTTTTCTCCACTTACATTTAACGGGATTAGAAACCGGATTACAAGCTATATTGGATGCGTTTGTGAAATAACTTAAAACTAAATATTTGTGTAATTTGTGAATTTTTTTTCTAGACTTTGGTTGGGGGACTTTGGGATACTAAAATCAGATAATGGCGTCGGAACTGATAGGAAATCTTAATGATTTTAAATTTTGTCTCCGGAATGTTTCGATCATGCAGTTCGTTGATTACACTTACAAGTAGTATATTTTTTTCTCAATGTAGTTTGTAGAGCTACTTTTGATTCAGTTTCATCAATACAGGGAAATTTTTTCCTTATGCCGATATGCATAAATGGATGTCATATGGAAACGGTAATCCTCTACTCTTGAGTGCCTCATGCATGTAATTATCGTAGTTATTGATTAATTTAACGGGTTTCACAATTGTACATTTGGTTGCTTCTTTTAGATGGAAAGCAATCCGAGATGTGACCAATCTTCTAATCTCGAGCACCTTATGCTTGCAATTACCTTATTTTATTGATTATTTTGATGGGTTTCGAAATTGTACATTTGATTGCTTATTTTAGATGGAAAGCATCCGGGATGTGATCAATCTTATTTTGGGAGAAGAGAGTTCTCCTTTACTTTGGAGAATGATATATATCTACGTTTTCAGTCTTTCAATGATATTAATGAACTCGAAAAGTCCATCAAAGAGAAGTGCCCCGTCAAAATTGATATTGGACCGGTTTACAGTGTAGACGTAAGTATAACCTGTTCTACCTTCTGCAGAAAACTTTAGCCAGTTTAATGTATCTGGGTGCAATAAATAATCTCTGTCGTTTTTTACTTCGTCAACCTTACTGTGAATGAGGCATGTTGAGAAATTTTGATAGGTTAGATATGGCCTTGGCAATATTTTTTTTTTCTTGGTTTTCACTAATCCGGCTGTTTACACTTCTGCAGCCAGCAAAAAGGCATGCTTATGCACAGTCTGGTAATAACGTTTTCACCCCAGTAGAGAGAGAACTTATATTTGATATAGTAAGTATTTAGTTAGTTTCTCGCTAGTTTTGCAGGTTGGGCATGGTGTAATATTTGATATTGGAAACTAAATCAAGTATAATTTGTATACTGCAGGATATATCTGATTACGATGATGTAAGATTTTGCTGCTCCGGGGCTGATGTTTGCCCGAAATGCTGGCCATTGATGACAGCAGCAATTAAAGTTGTTGATACTGCTCTTAGAGGTAAATGGGGATATAGAGGTTACTTTCAGAATGAAAGGAGTGGCGAAGCCTTGCCTTAAACTCATTCTGTTAATTGTTGGTATATCTAGCTTTCAACCACAATAAAACACATTATTATTTCATCCGGGGCCAACTATGTTGCAGAAATGTGGCTCGTTTGGAAATGTTGGATTTTAACCCTTTTAACTTTTCATCATATTTGCATGTGATGTAGGATATTTTTGCTGGTCATTTATTTGGAACATCTTGAGCTGAAAATATTTCCCCGCTCCTTGTCATAGACGTTTTAGAAAAAAATGCTAATCAACTTCCCTTTTGTACCTATTGGTCGAGAGAGCCTTTTTATGAGCAGTTTCTTTTGTTTATTAACCATAACCTTACTATAATAAAAGTAAAAATGCCTTAAAAAATTTCAGAATGATCTGATGTGCAGATGACTTTGGGTTCAACCACATTTTATGGGTTTATAGTGGTCGTCGTGGAGTCCATTGTTGGGTTTGTGATGGAAAAGCAAGACGGTAATCATGATTTTTTTTTTTCTTTTGAAGGTCTAATTTTTTTTTTTTTTTTACAAAGTTTCTTGAGACTAATGCATGCTAAATTGTTATGGTGACCAGGTTAAACAATGAACAAAGAGCCGCCATTACCGAGTATTTGCATGTTCACAAGGTTCTTCCCTCATCCCCTGCCTCCCCATACCCATGCTTTCTGTATATATGGCTATCATTATTATATTCTCAATTTTTTTTTTCTATATGTCTTGTTCCTTTTTCAGGGAAATGAAAATAGCCAGAAAAAAGTTACTCTATCCAGTCACTCACTTCATCCTTTTCTTGGGTAAGAACATTCTTACGTTAATTGCTCATCTGTGGACTGTATTGTTCTGTGGCTTAATGTTCGTACGTTTCCATCTTTTAGGAGATCATATGCTGATGTTTTGAAAGATTTCTTCGAGCAAGAGTTCATTTTGAGCCAAGAATTGTTTTCAACTGAAAGATATGAAAGGATACTGGAAATGATTCCAGATGAAAGTAAGCTTTTGTGCTTTATAACTGCCCGTGTCTTATTTTTGTTACTTAATTTATAGCATTCCTCACTTTCCACACTTTGGCAGCTATTACTTCTGAGCTTAGGGGAAAGTGGCAGGACAATAAACGGTCGCGCGATGATGTGAATGTTGTCCGGTGGGGCCATATTAAGCATCTGCTGCAATCAGGGAAACAGAAGGTATTGGGTAGTGTTTTATATGTTGAAATATAATAAGAAAAGTCGGAAGGAAAATAAAATTTATGGAAATTGGTGTCGGAGATGACATTTGCATTTGTTTCTATATTCATTGCACTTATGTGAATAGACATGTTATTTCTTCTATCACTTAATTCATACTTGTATTTTGTTTTCCGCCTTATGCAATTCTGCTACTTAGTCTCAATATATATTTCCTAGTTTCCTAGTTCACTTGAGAAATTTCTCCAACTATAAAGCTTCATTTTATTTTTATTTTATTTTTCCCTCAGTGAAAGCTTAAAATAGTAAACTACCAAATACAGTTGCACATTGTACACTACTCAATATCTTGTCATGGGCTGGTGATCTCAATTTTGTTGCCACTCAGGTTTCAAAACACATGAACCACTTGCTGAAGGCACCCTTCTGCATACACCCGAAAACAGGTAAGTGCTGAAAAGATTTATCATGGTGAATTCCTGAACCCTCAATTAGAAGTGCATTCCATGAACATTCTCTCTTTTTATCTTACAGGCCGTGTTTGTGTGCCTATTGATCCCAATAAGTGTGAAGAATTTGATCCTTCTGCTGTACCAACTCTTGCAAGGGTCAGTGATTTTTGTTGGTGGTGCATGTTAGAAAAGATTTGCATCATATTATATGTTACACTCAAACTGATACTGATGTACACTCTTTGTTTTCTTTGAGTTGAAAAATATGTCAGAGTAGTAAGTCTAGATTATGCTACTTAAATCTAGTTTGCTTAGTTTTTTTTATGAGCTAATAGTGTCTCAATGATGAGGTATGTTTGCCTTGTAGCCATATTTTCTGTTTGAGCGTTGCACTGTCTGGAGGAGGTGTTTTGTAACGATTAAATAGCATAATGGAATTAGATCATGATGATTTAGGATGATACTTGTCAGTTCTTGCAACCTCGTTTACAATGTGTCTTTCTTGCAATATACAGTTGCTATACCTTGTATCTAATGATCTCTTGGACAGAAGTTCTGCCACTCTGAAACTGCTACAATCTTGTAATACAATGTGTAATATATATTACTAGTTATCAAATTCATCTGTAGGCTATCTGGTGGTGAGTTTTCTTTCTTTACTTTGAGACTACGTGCTTCAGATTTTGAAATCATGAACATGAAGTCCTTGCTTCTCCATGATTTATGTTGCTTTTGCTCATTTTCATTATGGCATTCCAATGCAAAAATAGGAAAACCTTCTTTTTTCATCCATATATGATTTTGTTTGAGGGTAGTTAGCAGCTCTCTTTATACTCTGAGGTTTTTCCAAATTTAGTGCTTGAATTGACATGAACATATGGTGTTAATAATAATCTCTAGTCCTAACACAGTTAAAATAAATTTTTAAAGATAGATCCTAAATCATTCCAGTTTCATCATGTGTCATTTTGGTGTCAAGATTTTACGTCATACCCTTCTTTTTATCATCATGCAGCTCCTGGAAGAGCTCAACACGGGAGCATTAGGAACTGGTAGCAAGGAAGGTACAAACACATTCTTTGAAGTTCATATTGACATCTTTGTGCGTGTGTGTGTGTGTGTGAAGGTCACATTTGTTCTTTCCATACGAAATTTCAAAATTTGTTGGGTGGCAGAACTGGAAAATTCATCACTTGGCAAATCAATCAGATATTTCATGTCGTCTTTCTTGCAGCCTCTGCTAAAGTCATGCAAGGTATAAGCCTAAGCCAACGTCTCTTATTCTATTAGGAAAAAGTCTAAGTTTGCGATAAGATATTCTAAGCCATTCGGGTGCGCCATGCAGGAAGAGATTGAGAGTTTGTTTGCTGCTAAAGCTCAACAGTCAAAGAACAGCCTGAGCTGGTAACAGGCAGTCTTCAGTTATAATCTGACTCATGAAGATGATTGCTTGTTTGCTTTTGTGAGGTCATATGAAGCATTTGAATAGTTGTATTTGTTATGAATGCACTTTAGTTTGGGAGGGGATTTGTTGTACAATGTATTTGACGCAAAACACAAATTTATTAGTCATCATGTTTCTTCGTGCCCTATCGTTGTATCATAGAAAATAGTTTCTTCTCAATTGTTATGTTTCTATTTTTTCAGGGTTAATTGTTGGATGGCGAATTGTTTTGCCATTTTCCCCGCTTAGGGTTATGTGTTGGAAATAAACAAAGTAGAATGACATTTTTCTTTCCATCTATTTATCCTTTTTTTCCAACGTGAAAGAAAACTTAGATCGAATAGAGGGTTGGGTGACGTGCTCCCACTTTTTTTGGGCAGAGGTTGGAGTAGGGGTGAGCTCCCTGTCTCCCAATTTTTTCTTAATTACATGGGGTTGGTTGGTAAGTCTCCACCGGTAGTGGTGGGCCATCGTCATTGGCTGCTCGGTAGAGCCATCAATGGTTGTCGAGGGGGTTTGAGCATGGGGCTTCCGTGGTGCCATATTCCACCTGGTTTTTAGTTGTCTCTGGGGTTAGGAGACGGGCTGCGCCGGTGATGAAGGTCGAGGGCTCTTGTTGTTTGTTGGCTTCTGGTTGTCGGTCGAAGGAGATTGTTGGAGTATAAGGCTGATTTCTGTTTGATTGATTCACGGGTGTCTACTTTGGGAGAGTTTCAGGGCGAGAATATTGGATCTTGTTAGGCATTTTCTGCAGTTTTAGGTCTCGGTGCTTTGGCACGGTCTTCTGCCCGTTTGGGTGGGTACTCTCGGTGGTGGTGGTGGGGTCTCGCGGACTTTGCTTTTCTGTTATGGAAGAGGGCTCTAGTCTGTGTTTTTGTTTTGTCGTTGTGTTGTTCGTGTGTTTTGTTGGTCCTCTACTTTGCTACATGGCGCTTAAGATGTCGGTGATTGGCCCCGATTGGGTTTTGACTCCTAGCTGGTTGCCAATTAGGATGAAGGTCGATCGGATCTCTAGGTGTTGTGGTGGAGTGGATTTGTAGTGTGTGCGGGTTGTTCTTGTTTTGTTGTGGGGGTTTTTTTCTTTCGTGTTTGTGTTATCTTTTTTAGGAGAATGTGTATTCTCCTGTATGGGAGTTTTTATTCTCCAGTTGCGGAGCTTCTTAGTTTAGTTTTGTGTTGTTTGTGGGTGAGTTGTGAGCTATTATTAGCATCTAGGCGATCTTCAGATATGTCTTCTCGTTAGATTCGACTTAAGAATTGTTTTATTCAGTTGTTGGACTGTTTCTAATTATAATTATGTATTTTTTTTCTATAAAATTAATGTCAAAAAAAATAAAAATAAATCTCACATTTATTATATTATTCCACCAACTTTCATATTAATTTAACAATTTGAGATATATAATCTCTCATTCCAATTTCTTTCTTATCTCAAATTGTAAAGTTAAGGCCTTGATTTCCACCTTTATCCCTAACCCCCCATGTGGCCAAGAGTAGAAAGCCATGGGGCCCCGTACTACAAATAACTTAGCAAGAAAACCAACACTGAATTTTGTCAACAAAACAGTAGAAAATAGGTTTCCATTTTAAACCAATGAAGAAAACTGTGAAAAGCACTCAGTCTCTCCCCCTCAAAAATCCCCATCCCACAACCAATCCCCTTCAGGCTAGTTGCAGGTGCCCATGGCGATGTGCTTTTGAACGGTTGGGAAACCCTTTTCTTGACTTTGATCTCTCTCTCTCTCTCTCTCTCTCTCTCTCTCATACTACCCCTCAGTTTCTGAACCGTCCGATTCGGAAATGGTTAGCCCGCTCAAGGACGACAGGCGTGCCGGCGGGCCGGAGGAGGATTTCATACGAAGACACCACAAGCATGACGTCGGAGAAAACCAGTGCAGCTCCTCTTTGGTGAAACACATCAAGGCCCCTTTGCCTCTCGTGAGTTCTCTTCTGATAAATACAGAATTTACACTTCGATTCTTATTCAGATCTGCGAATAATTGGGTTTGGATTGGATTTGATTTTGTTTAGGTTTGGTCGTTGGTGAGGAGATTTGATCAGCCGCAGAGATACAAGCCGTTCGTGAGTAGGTGCATAGTTCAGGGCGATTTGCAGATTGGGACTGTTCGGGAGGTGAATGTGAAATCCGGGCTTCCGGCGACGACCAGCAAGGAGAGATTGGAGCTGTTGGATGACGAGGAGCACATTTTCAGCATGCGGATTGTCGGTGGTGATCACCGCCTCAAGGTATATTAACCGTTAAGTTCCTTGAGCTCGATTTGTTTTGTCCCATGGATTTGTTTCAAGTTATGGTTTTGGCATTATTGAACACAAGACCTGTCATGTCCCATGGATATGTACTGTACATCTTATGCATTTTCTCCTGCAGAACTACTCCTCGAACATCACCGTCCATCCCGAGATCATAGATGGAAGGCCAGGGACACTGGTGATCGAGTCCTTTGTGGTGGACGTGCCGGAAGGTAACACCAAGGACGAGACGTGTTACTTTGTGGAGGCTCTCATCAAGTGCAACCTCAAGTCGCTGGCTCATGTCTCCGAGCATCTAGCCATGCAGGACCGAACGGACCCGATCGATAGATTCTAAGCAATGCGTGTGTGTGTGTGTGTGTGTGTTTGTTTGAGACTTGCTGCTTTATAAAAGCCCAATCGATGAATCAATTGGCTTTGCAGGAAAGAAAAAGGAGATACTTTTCGGTATAAGTGAGTCGAGAGACGGGTATTGTGCCGGTCCTCCTCGTCGGCCTTGTCGTGCATCTTAGTTCGTTTTTCTTTCTTTTCTTTACGTGTTTTGTGATGTTTCGATTTTGTTGCTTTAGTTTCTTTGTAATGTAGTTTCTTTGTAATGGGTTTCTTTATGTTCAACCCAGTCATTTTCGTGTGTGGAAAAACGTCCAATTTGTTCTCTGTGTTGAGATTTGGGTTGTATATGCCTTAGGATCATATAGGATAATAAAGATAAAATTTCCTATTTTTGTGTTTTGATTCTTG